AAAAGGGTGAGAACTGGAAATGGAAGATACAATTATATTTTTACTCTAAGGCTCTTTAAATTAGCATTTATCTGTGACTATGTGGAAGAATGCAGATACTTAAGATTCTAGGATATAAAACAACCCTCCAGTATAACTAAAATTAATCCTTTGGTTTCTGAACTTAATAGAACACCTATTTTGTGTAGATTGTGGTTTTGTTAATTTATAGGAAGCAGTAGTAATTCAGAATATTGTTTTACAAATTACAGTTGAAAAAATGTGGCAACTTTTTACCATTATGGAGAGCAATTGGTTCATTTGCCCAAATGTTTCTGCATAGTACACAGGCAGGTTCAAAATCACTAGCCATGTCCTAGATTTTAAGTTGAATTTCCAAGGTTTATGTTTATTTTATAAACAACACAATATAGTCAAAAGATATATTTTGTATATTAAATATTACATAAAACATTTTAGTGATGTTTGTGCTCGCTTTGGAGAAAGGGTACCTCTGAAGCCAACGTTCCAAACGTAACCACATCACTGATAGATTCTGTGACAGGCATAAGGCTGAATTCCAAGGACATACTGAAGTTTGTACAAAGTACTACCTTCTTTTTTGTATGTTTTAATATAAATCTAAATTTGGGTGCCAGTGCTTGTTCTTTCTGGGGTTTTTTTTGGCCACTTCTTTAAACTACCATGGAAAATATATACACACTTAAAAGCCTACCTACTCTAAGTTTCAAACTCATTATATTCCTAAAATCAAATCTCTTTTTCCTGGGATTCCAATTACAAGCAAAGGAGGCACTACAGTCATCAATCCATGGTTTGACATCTTATTTTTAACAAATCACTAAGTAAAGTTAAGGTCTACCTATAAGCCATCTCCTTCCCACTCACCCAACTCCTTCCCTGGCTTTGGTCCACAGGTCCTGTAATTAGTCAACCGAAGTCTGGCCTTTTTCCAGAAACATGATATAGTCAAGCCAGTTCCACACTATCATGCTATTTCTCTGTGCTCCTATCTGTTGCTTCCTCTGCCTCAAACTTTGTTCCACCTGTTATCTGCTGAAAATCTAAATACCCATCAAGTTCTGCACAATTCAAGCCTCCTACAATTAAATGACCCTGAAACTCCAAGTGCTCTACTTATATTTCTCATAGAACTAATTAGTTTTGCCTTGTATCAAATTCAACTAAGTTTGAGCCGGACAAGTAACTCACCAACAATAGCTCCCAACAACTGGCATAAGGAGCCAAGTACTTGTAAAGAAGTGAGTCCGGATCTTTTCTGTGATGACACACCAGACCACTAGTGACCATGAGGTTTCTTCACTGGTGTTCTCACTCTACTGCCTTCAGTTATTACATTCAGGTATTCTACTCTAGGGCATCCACTTTCCTTTTTAGTGTCAGAGAGAGCAACAAACATGTGACACGACCTCATAAAACTTGAATGTGTTGAACAGATCTTCCTGCACACCCCAACCCAACCCCAAGGACTATTATCAGTCTTTAAATGACTCAAGTCTGAGGGAGAAAATAAGTAACTTTTTCAGATGAATTAAACAACCATACTATGTGGAGAGCCTATAGATAGTTCATTCCAATATCATCATGAACACAGAGGATTGCAGAGAATGAATCCCGCTCCTGGGAAAGCTGCAAGAAGAATGCAATGAGAATAAAATATTCCTATCCTACAGTTACAAATTATAAAATTTACTTTAATATCATTAATTTCTGGGGTATCCTCTATCAGCAAAACATTGCACAGTCACTTAATGAGGCCAGGTTTTCTCCATCATCCACTGTGGTGGGAATAACAGAAGACAGTATTTATTATTCACTATACTGAGAGCTGTTCTGTGTTCCTTAATACCCTCTTCTCAGTTATTATTCACAACTCTATTAGGTAGCTACAAAATCAAAGACATCAAATAACCTGCCCAAGGTCATACAACTAGTCTTCAGATCACTGTCTCTAAGTCCTTAATCATTCATGATGTATAATAAAACTTAAAATATATGTATAAGAAAAGAATATGGCCAGAAACATTTAAATTTAAAAGAAAAAGTATTCACTGCATTAATGTTTAAAAAAGAAAAACCCTACACACTCCTACAAGTTTTGGTATTCCTGCCAAATTTTTAAAAAAATCAAATAAGACTCCAGCTAGTCTATACTTCCATTTATATTTAGAATATGAGCTGGGCATGAGTATGTAATGAATATATATGGGTTTCTCTCTCTGTGTATAACACCCACATTATTCAAAAGCTCCCAAAATGTGAAAAATTTGTTCCAACCCTTCTTTATTTTGTCTACTTTAAGAATTCTTTGCAATATGCTTATGTAAATACTGATTTTAGCTGCTGTTCTCATTTCTCAAATCTTCAGCTTATAAATGGATTGGACAAGTAACAGACCTAAGCAGACATCTTGGGAACACAAAACCAAGGAGATATAAACAAATAGAACTAAATAAAAAACAAAGGATTCTTCTCTAAACCCTTTAACTTACCACTACTGATATTTGAAAAGAACTGAGAGATTACAATGGTTGCAGATAAGGGGTGTGTGTGTGTGTGTGTGTGTGTGTGTGTGTGTGTGTGTGTATACACATAGAAATACATGTGCATATACTCAGGTAGGTGTCTATTTTATTAGCACATACAATGTTCAGCATTTTACCTGAGCTTACTAAAAGCTCTATATGAACACAGAATCTAAATGAAAGAAGATTTTGAAGTTAGAGTAATGTTGGGGCATGGGAGAGTACTTAAGAAAACTGTTCCAGCTTGTTAAAAATAAGTGAGTACCTTCAGTTTTCTTATACCAGAATTCACTTTATAGTTCAATTACATTAATAAGTCATGGACTCTGCAGGTGATCTGTCTCTGTCCACACTTTGAAGAGGTGCTTAAGAGGAGTAAGAATAGAGTCAAAATACCACCATTCCACTTACCTGATGCATTACAGACATAAGCCTACAATGACATCACATCCCATATAGCACAGTGAAAAGATGATGCTGGCATCCACCCACCCTAAGTGGGGCTACACTATTCCTATTCAGAAATGTGAAACTCACCAATGCAGAAGTTACTGCCTGAAATTAAGTAACACATGGTGATATTGTTGGAAAGAAAATTCAAACAGAAGACCACTTTTTGATGAGAATTTTGCAATAATATCAATGGACTTTGTATTTTTGACAACATCATAATCCTATTACTGGAAACAAACTATAAGTAGACCATATTTGTCATAGTTGAGAACTAAACATGCATCTGGTATGTATCTTCTCCATGTAAGCTAATAATGTTACTGATTTTTTTTGTATAAGCAAAGTAATACTAACAGCACTTTTACCAAACTAAGGAAGAACTTTTATACTCATCTAACATTGTGTAAATGTAAAAATTATTTTATTCTAATTATAGAATCTTTATTCATAAAAATATATTAGAGAAAAATACTAAACATTCCTGGAATTAGAAAAATAAGTAACAAAAGCATAATGAAGTTCTTGATGTTTCTACCAATGATTTATTTCTTTCAGGGTGACCATACTGACAAAAAAAAAATACTAGATTGTTTAGTCTAAAAGTGATTAAGAGTTAAGTTAGTAGCTTTGGCTTTGTTCCACTGAAGAAAGCAAAGAGGGAGGAATTTAGCTTTTGGACAGAGAATAGACACTGGCAGTCTCCAGATTTTACTTCCAGCATCTCAACCCACAACCAGCCTGGTGTGAAGAGATGGCAGATGGGACTACTTCTGTTATTTCGACTGCTGAAGCAGATACTGCCTGTTTCTGTAAGCATGAATATTCAGTAACAATTAGGAGCGAGGGTAAGTGTGCTGAATGTATGGAGCAGGTACCAAATTTTTTTTTTTATCCTGTTCTCCTCATATTATAGATTAAGACAAAAAAATCAGTATTTAGAAAATGTCATTTCTGTCAAGCTTGGAAAACCCTTCCCATTCAATGAAATGATGCTGATTTTCATATATTTAATGTAAATGTCTGGAGAGAAATGGGTAGGCAGATGAAAACCAGAGTAATTAGCAATTTAGAGGAAAGAAATTTAAAGGCAACTAAACTGAATCAGTAATTATTTTCCACTTTATTTTCATGATTTCATTATTTTCTCAGAAAATGCTGAGTGGGCATTAGAGTATCAGTGTCATCATCTATCACACAAACCAGATTTCTTTAAATACTACCATAAGCATCCACACTGACGTTTTGTTGGGTACTAATGCCTATTTGTAATTCTTTTTTACTTATAACTTGAAAAGGATTATTGAACCCAAAAAAGGGTAATTTTGCTATAAATAAAATAAATGTGGTGACAATTTCTTTGAAATCGAGAAATGAGAAATACTGTGATAATCTGACATATGTTGCCACCCCCCACTCCTCCCCAAAGGAGAAAGGTCTAGAAATAAAATAATATGCCTACATTTACTAAAATGAGAAATTAATGATCACTGAAAGGAAATCTAAGGCCACCTATTCAGACTGTAAGGGATAACATCCATTAGAACACCACCTCTCCTCAAAATTAATTAAAAAAAAAAAGAAGTTAATTCATTATACATGTGGGTAAGTTCTTTAAGAGTTCTAAAAGTGAATAAATACCTCAATACATAAGCTGAGTTCCACATTCCACATTGACACTTCTCAGTGAAAAAAAACAAAACAAAACAAAACAATTGCACAGGAAAGCTGGCATGAGCCATTCAGGTTCCCCCCATATCCATTACACTGCCAGGTAAGAAGCAAATGTCCTGGATGCTGGGAATCAGATGACAGACACCCAAGACTGACTGACAATCCATAGGGCCCAGAAGGTTACGTATTTAAAAAAAGGATGGACTATCAGTGTGCTCTTTAGGACTGAGATGAAATTTCTTTGATTTTTTCACATCCTAATGAGCACACATTATAGAAATAAATCAATGCCAATGCAAGGCACACATGTGAAAGTTGAGATAAACTTACGAAGTAGCCTGTTCCCAAGCTGGAAGGAGCTGAACTCTGCAATAAAGCATAAAGACAAAGTGGAAAATCAGCAATGGTTTTTAACACGTTCCAATCCACACAGCTCATTACCAGCCCTTTGCAGGCTTTTCATCACTACATCACACCACCAGTGTATGCTGCCCCTTGTCAGCCACTACTGATACAAACACCGTGTTGCTTAATTTTCCCCTTTACATCTCTCAACAACTCAGAGATACTAACGCGCTGTTTACTGAATTCCAAGCTTCTGCGGTGGACGTAATTGCCAATTTATTTGACAGGCAGCTGGGTAATGAATTAATGATGGCAATTCGCCCTGCACTGAGACTAAACAGCCACACATCAGCCTGCCTCCTTGACTTGCTGACATTCAATGTCCTGGTCTCAAGCCACTCAGTTTTGTGGCCACAAAGGGGCAGGCAGGAGGAAAAAGCCCAGACTGACTTGAAAATAAAAAGCCCAGTGGGTTTAGATGACTTTTCCAAATAATGACCTACTTGCCAGTTTATTCCCTAAAGTCACCAGTTAGTAAACACACAGAGCTTTTCAAAAATAAGACATTTTATAAACATAATTAGTAGACTAAAATGCAAAGAATGTGTGGGAATAAGGAAGCATCGAAAAGCATCATTTTTCTGGTGGTTTTAATAATAAGAATTATCAATTTAGGCTTCCACAGTTCTGATATACAGGAAACTAAAAAACAATAATTCTGAAAGGGATGTTGGGCGTCTTCAGGGAAGAGACCAAAAAAACACCCCTTGGTTTTTGTTTTAAACTTGTCTGTGATTTGTTCTTGTTTATATGTTTGTTTCTTTTTCTCCTAAAACCTCTCATTACAAATTCTTTAATTTTTAGTGTCCTTTTGTGAATAAGAGGGTCCCCAAATAAGCTTGAAAGAAAAAGAATGCTAATGCTTGAGGCAATCTTCAGAACTCAGCTAACCGTCCTGGCACCATCAGGGCCTTGCCCCTGACTAGCTTGGGTTAGGTATGACACCTTCCCTGGAGTGGCCTGACTTCCACCCGGATGCAACAACTACTTGGTTCCTCTTTAACTCTTCTACTCAAACGTGCAGGCTCTGTTCTGTAAAGTATAGGTAGCTGGGACCCACTGGCTTACTCATCATTGCTTCCCCAGACCTTAGCATAGTGCCTGGCACACAGGATGCACTTAATAAGTATTTGTTGAGTTAGTATATAAACAAATGAATGAATGTATTGTACAGGGGGTTATAAACATAATTAGTAGACTAAAATGCAAAGAATGTGTGGGAATAAGGAAGCATCGAAAAGCATCATTTTTCTGGTGGTTTTAATAATAAGAATTATCAATTTAGGCTTCCACAGTTCTGATATACAGGAAACTAAAAAACAATAATTCTGAAAGGGATGTTGTGCGTCTTCAGGGAAGAGACCAAAAAAACACCCCTTGGTTTTTGTTTTAAACTTGTCTGTGATTTGTTCTTGTTTATATGTTTGTTTCTTTTTCTCCTAAAACCTCTCATTACAAATTCTTTAATTTTTAGTGTCCTTTTGTGAATAAGAGGGTCCCCAAATAAGCTTGAAAGAAAAAGAATGCTAATGCTTGAGGCAATCTTCAGAACTCAGCTAACCGTCCTGGCACCATCAGGGCCTTGCCCCTGACTAGCTTGGGTTAGGTATGACACCTTCCCTGGAGTGGCCTGACTTCCACCCGGATGCAACAACTACTTGGTTCCTCTTTAACTCTTCTACTCAAACGTGCAGGCTCTGTTCTGTAAAGTATAGGTAGCTGGGACCCACTGGCTTACTCATCATTGCTTCCCCAGACCTTAGCATAGTGCCTGGCACACAGGATGCACTTAATAAGTATTTGTTGAGTTAGTATATAAACAAATGAATGAATGTATTGTACAGGGGGAGAAAAGGATTCTGTAAATGTAACATCTCCAAAAATAAAGTAGATGTGATTCTTCTCTATTCTAACCTGTTTCTGAGAAGGAAATCAAGAGCTTTAAGTACAAACAGATCTGCATCAAACAAAGAGAGAATGCTCCAGGCCATTCCTAAATTCACTTCCCAAAGCAAAACTTTCTTCGCCTCAGTGTTTCAGAGAAGCTCAGGGGAATTAAAGAATGACAGATGTGTGATCTGCACAATGGACTTGGTTTTAAAAAATCTTGCTGCATTCTTGATCCCATAAATGGTATTCAGGGAGATCCACAGTAGTCATGGCGACAGCTTCTCACAGCAGTCATTAGCCATGTGACAGCATCACCTGTTTTAGCACCCACAGCTCTCCGTGGAGCAGAGGAGGCAATAGCCAAGTCAGATCTCTACCAGCCTGAAGCTATGCCCCTGGGAGGAAAACTCACTTTTGGATGAATTACTAAGAGATAACGTGGGATTTGTTTATTTCAGATTTTTTTCCTTTTCCTGCAAATGTATTTTATCCCAGAAACAGAAGTACCCCCTCCAGACCCACCTTTCCACCCCCACATACATATCATCTTATTGTACACCAAAGAAAATTACATCCTTGAGGCCTCAGAAAGCTCTGTTATACTCATTTTGCATATATATTGTACATTACTCAGGAAGCTGGGTGGAGAAGAGGGCTTTGTTGTGCATATTTGTTCTGGCTATTGTTTATGCAGGTCTGACTGAATGAGGGAACAGTGGGTATCATTTCAATTTCTGATGTCAACATCAAATTACTTATTTAATTTCATGCCTGGCGAAGCATTGTATAGCTACACGCAGAATCATTTCACTTCATTTGTTATGCTGTGTTTTTGTGGCGATTGGCTTGCCTTCCAACTGACAGCTTTAATTACAACATGAATTTGATTGCACTGCCGGGGAATTAACATAATGTAACAAAGCATTTAAGCACCCTGTCTTATAACACCCCCCGCCTCCCAGCACACACACACACATGCAAAAATACAGACACATGAAGAAAACAGACACTGGATCCTCACATACATTAAAAGGTCTGTTGGAGTTTCAACATATGCTAGAAAGCATATATAAATTTATAGTCAGAGGCTACCCACATTTGCCAGTCCACTATACTCACTACTTTTTTTTTAATAGGAAAAGATTTGTGACATTAAGTTGTGATTTCTGGACCTGGCAGAAAACTTTGTAGAAAAATCCTTTTAATCTACTTTGCCAAATATCATAGTATTGACATTTCCCCTCACCCCCCTTACTCCTTTTCACCATATTTATCGTGGCCAATTGCCAGCTCCCTTTCAATCATTGCTGGAGAACTGAAACAGAAACATCTCTGAAATAGAGACTTCTCCTTGTCCAGTTCTACAACCCCAAGAATCTGGTTATGGCCTTGTATTCAGTGAGACACTATCAGTTGTCACCAAGAGGACCTCCACCATCTGAATACAGAAAAGAGAAGTCCTGAGACCAGTAATAGGACAGGAGACAGGGTTTCGCTGATAGCTCATGCATCACATCCCTGAGACACTGCTATCCAAAAGGCCTAGAACAGTCTCAGTCATGTATGCTGAATCTACATCTGTATCTAACTATAGCTACAAATATTTGAAAGCTTTAGCATTTTCCCAAGTCAGAAATTCCATGAACACCTGAAAGCTTAGGTGGCAACAGATTATGCTACAAAAATGGAATGAATGTTTAGAAACGGCTTTTTTATTGTCTGAAATGTGTTATGTTAGCTATTCATTTATAGATATGCATTTAAGGATTGGTACTGCTGCTTTCTCATGTTACAGAAGAAGAGACAGACACCAGTAGGTAAAGACCTAGGAAAGCAGACAGGTGGTGTGCCCTGACCACTGAACCATTTGACAGAATCAAGTTGATTTGGACTTTCTGTGTTTCCCTGTCAATATCTAATAAGAGGAGGTGTCTTCCATTTTTCTCTCAAATTCTGTCCAAACTATATTAGCAAAAGGGGCCACAGAGTCTAGAAGAGGGTATGAGTCAAAATGAGGCTTGAAAAACTAAAGATATGATTTTTTTTAAAAATGGAACAAATGAAAGTATCCTTGGATTCCAAACCATTTTGAAATAGTAACTATAAACACCCATGTTTAGGCAAAATTCCACTGAGTAATGCAAAAGCCTTCATTTTTATTTCTTCAAGTGGTAGAGTTGCCAATTCTTTCATATTTCCAAATGCACTAGGTAGAAATGCAAGGTATAGAGAGGGTGAGAAAATAGAGTAGGAAAAGCATTCAGCAGTAAGCATGACAAGACAAGGGTACGAGGAAATTCTAGCCAGCTGGGTATCTGATATGCGATTTCTGGTTTCATTATAAGCCATCTCCTGTTTAACATGGTCTTTTCATTCTGCTGGGGCTTTTTGCAGATTTGACCACTGCTCCAGCAATCTCTGCAAATTACCCACCTCGATCTCATTATGTTGCAAAAGAGAGCTTTCTTACAAACACACTGCCTCAATCTCCAAGCTACATGGGCTGAAGGAATAGTAATGGGATGCACAGTTGAAAGACATTTTCCAGGAGGGAGAATGTTGCTGCTGACATTCAAGTCTGCAAGTGGATATTCATTAAAAGCTTATTCTACACTTTCTCCCTGCCCTCCACCTGACTTTTTTTCCATCTCTGTCACTAAGCTATCATTGAAGCTACTCATTAAACTCATGAAGTTAACATTTCTGTTTTAACAGCTTCCAACAACATCCAACCAGTTGAAACCCTTACAAGGGATTTCAAAATTGATTATCCATCTAAAACAGATGTGCTCCATTCATTAGCGATCTATAGAGAGGCCATGGCTACAACAGTTTCCTGAGTATGGAATGGATGTGTTCTCCATCCCTAGAAGAGAATGTGTGCTCTGACCCTAGGGCTAATTTAAATAGAATATTTAAAAATTCTTCCAAATCACCAACTGTGTTTGACATCCCTGCCTACCCACCGCCATGTTACACTTTTCCATCTTGGGAGTCAAAAGCAGAAGGACCATGCCAGGAATCATAACTGACCAGGAATAGTCAAGTATATTTATTGCAAAGATCACAAA